GTGTATGGGAAGAACCTTTCAGTTGATGTCGAAATACAACAAGCTGAGCTGAAACTCTTCTGGATCTTCTTGAGGCTGGCACAGGACAGTTTTGACCCTGACTGTGTGAGGAATCAAAATCATATTCTTCCTAATTTAGCATCCTAAAAGAAACCCTGAGGACAACTTCAAGGTCCTTTGCTCCTGATTTGGGTTGGCCAGGCATCATCCAGCTCTGGTCTGGAAACCCATGGTAGCTGTGTAGGCTGTTGTTCTGTCTGAGCTGAGTCCCTGCTTGTTGCACTTGTGTTAATCATTATGTACCTGTTGGATCAGAGTTGATGGGTACCTGACCAACTCGGAGCATGGCAAACCTCGTTTCATTTGTCTCTTCCTTGCACAGACCTGTCTGTAGGGGAAGCATGCCTGGTTTCCGAAGTTAATTAGAATCTTTCCATGCAGACTTCTGTTGCTTGGATCCCAGTTTGAGAGATTGCGAGTGTGTGTTTGTGTGTTGCCACACTTAGGAGTGGGCTAGGAGAGGGAGCACTCAGATAATAAGCTTCAGTTTATACAAAATAAACAGCTTGTGTTCTGTTGATTTTTCTTTTTTATGTAATCCCATTTAATATGACTAAATCCATCTTTTCAGCCTGATGGCAGGATCTTATCTTTCCTGTCAAGATTTTAAGTTCCCCTTTGTACATGTTATGTTCCACTGAAGCAGTGGGATTACCTTCAAAGGGAAGGGTTAGAAAGGTTTGGCTATATGAAAGCAGCCATCATAATGCCAAACAGGTTGGTTGGCTATTGCGGAACAGTAAAAAGCAAAGGCCTGTTTGTAGGGTGACTAATTCCATGGTACATAGTAAAGTTCCTTTTTTCCTTTACATAAAATTCGAAGCACTTAATAGCTATCTGTTGTTATACATGGGGATTTTTGAATGGGGTATTTTAGAAAATCTATTATAAGGAAATATACCTCTTCTACGTGTTTACATAATGATGTATAATTCTTACTGTGTGAACACATCAGAGTTGTGAAGTCTCCCAGAATTTCTAATTGAGCACAGATTCCTCAGCTAGAACAGACTTATCTCTAGCAGTGGAAACCACGTGTCTGACCAAGCATAAGTCACCACGGGTGGGACTTCCCAGTGTTGAATGAGAAATACTGAAGCAGTAGTGCCAGCTATCCTGTTTTTATCCTTATTAAAAAGCAAACATGCCTCCAGCTGGACTTTGTGCCACTGATCACAACCGCCTGGGCCCTGCAGTTTAGCCAGTTCTCAGTCCCACCTCACTGTCCATTTGTGTAGCCAGTACCTCATCAGTTTGTCTGGGAGGCAGCGCTGAAAGCCTTACTTGAGTCAAGGTAAATTAAATAACTGCTGCTCTTGTCTCATTCACTGAGCTGGTTTTCTCGCTGTAGAAGGCTATCAGGTTGATCAAGCTGATTTTTCCCTCATAAATCTGTGCTGACTGCTCCATTCATGTGATCCTTAATATGTTTCGAAATGATCTCCAGGATTATTTGCTTCATCGCCTTCCAGGGATCAAGGTGAGGCTAAGGAGCCCATTCCCTGGATCTTCCTTCATGAACGTGCAAGTGGCACTTGCTTTTTTTTCCCCCCCCTTCCTCCCTCCTAAGTCCACAGAATCTCCTCCAGTTGCCCTGACCTTTCAAAGATAATTGAGCGGCCTTGCAGTGACATTGGCCAGCTCCTGGTTGCCCACTGGCACTTCTGGGTGCATCCTATCAGGTCCCATATACTTGTGTATGTCCAGTTCATTTAAAAGTAGCCTAGCCTCATCTTCCACTGAGGGTAGGTCTTCCTTGCTCCAGACTTTCCCTCTGGTCTGAGGGACCTGGGGTTGCTGAAGGCCAGCCTTACCAGTAAAGGCTGAGATGAAGAAAGCATGAAGTACCTTGGCCTTTACCATATATTTTGTCATCAGGTCCCTTGTTCCATGCTTCCCCTGGTCTTCCCTTTGCTCATGTACCTTGCTGCCCTTCATGCCCCTTACCGGATTTAGCTGCAAATGGGCTTTGGCTCTCCAAACCCCATCTCTGCAGGCTCAGGCAGTGCCTGTATTATTCCCCTCAGGCCACCAGTCCGTGTTGTATGCTTCCTTGTTACATCTGAGTCTTGCCAGGAGTCCTTTGTTCATCCTCCTGCCACCTTTGCTTAACTTCCTGCCCATCAGCATGGACCATGCTTGAGCTTGGAGGAGGTGATGCTTGAATATCAACCAGCTGTCCTGAGCCCCTCTTCTCTCCAGGGCTGTATCCCACAGGATTCTTCCAAGCAGGTCTCTGAAGAGGCCAGAGTCAGTTCTCCTGAAGTCCAGGAGATGCTGCTGTTGTCTTCCTTTTCCTCTCAGTATCCTGAACTCCTTCATCTCATGGTCACTTCTGCCAAGGCTGCTCCTGACCTTTGCATCCCAAGGCCTTCCTTGTTTGTATGTATGAGGTCCAGCAGTGCCTCCTTGTTGGCTTCTTGAGCACCTGTGTCATGGAGTTTTCAGCAAGAAGCCACTCCAGAAACCTCCAGGTTTCTGCCCCTCTAGCAGATAGCAGTGTGGGTGAGTGCCCTGTGAAGACCAGAGCCTGTGAATGTCAGCCTTCTTCCAGATGTTGGAAGAAAACCACCTTGTAACAGGTGACTTCAGTTCTCAGAATATAACTTGGTCAAATGTCACAAACGGGCAGAGAGCAGTCTTCTACAGCATGGTACTTGATTGCTTTTCAGGATGGTTTGTCCTAGAGCTCACAAAAGGTTATTTTCTATTTAGCTTTAAACAACAGATAGGAAATAGTTCAAGATGTAAGTAGTTGAACCACTAAGTAAAAGCGACTGTAATATAATTACATTTGCAGCATGCCTTCGGTTCTTTAGTAAAGTTCAAGGACAAACTTTAAATAAATCACAAAACCACTTGGAAACTTTCATGTCAGAAGTTCAGCTTATAATAAATGATTCAGCTTCAAGGCAGGTTGCAGACACTTCCCCTCCTTCTCCTTCTTCCCCCTTCCTCCACAGACATAGAAGAAAAAATGGAAAAGAAAGTGCACTGGAAAAGGATGAATAAAAAATAGAAAAGTGCGGGCTCCAGAGCAAATGGAAATCCCTTTTTCACTGCATAGCAGAGACTAGTGTGCAACCCCCAGTGTAATGTGCGGGTCTTTGTCACGCCTGCTGGGTTTTGTGGTAGCTTTTGTGGTTTTGTGCTCGGATACGATAGCGCAGCATTACTATTACTGTCTGGCCTGCTGTTTATTACCAGGACAAGAGGTGCATTGTGAATGGGGCTCTTAATTTTCCTTTTATTCATTTCCTATTGCTGTACTGATGTTGAGCAGGCTTATGCTTAAATTTGGCGAGACCAGAATTAAACCATACCCCGGGGAAATATAAGTTATCCTTCGGCAGACTGACATATCTATGTGTCAGTGGTATAATTTAGTTTCCACTGAAAACAGTTGCATTGGAAAAATAGAATTTAAATCTGTTTCCAAAAGCAAAGGGTACACTGAGGCTTTTAATTTTTTTCTTTCCTCCCTGTCACTTTTTTCCCCCCTGAAGCCAAATGACGTTGTTCTTGTGTCTGAGAATTGTTTAGCTGTGGCAGCTCTGCTCTCTCTTGTATGCTAGGATGGTTTCCTCTGACCCTGCAGAGCCCGGCTGTCCCGGTGGCGGTGGGTAGTGCTGTCTCCTGGCTTGTCTTGTCATCAGCGACACAAACCCCGTTTCCATCAAGTCAGCCCCAGGGTTTGGATGTTGCGCTCGCCTTTGCAACTTTACCAGGACTTGCCTGAAGCATCGGCTGTGAAGGAATTACCTGTGGCTGGACTTAAGGCACCGAGGTGTTTAGTGCAGTGAAACCCCTGGGCCAGCCGTGGTTGTGCGCAGGGTGCTCCCACCAGTGACCACGTGTGGGCTGAGCATCTCCTGGTGGGAGCCCCAAAGCCCTGTGCAGCAGGAGCAGGGGGCCTGACCCTGCTGCAGAAGTGTCACGGGGTGCCTTGCTGTAAAAAGCTGCTGCCTCTGAACTTGAATCTCATGGCGTAGCCGTCAGGTTACCCCCAGGAGACTGATGTTGGTTCTGCTTTTGGAGTGCTTCTGAGCAGTGCGGTACTGCAGACCTTGCTTCTGCGTTGTTGCCTTCCTTGCCTGAGTCGAGGCAGCCCTTGAATCAAGAGGGTCAGCAAAAATTGCGTTGCAAGGGACTCAATTGCAGCATAATTACAGGAGGAGGTTGAGCTTAAGGATGTAAAGGGCTTTGTCCTTTGGTTACACTTGTGTATATTTAATGTAATACTGGTAACTTGCCCTAGAAGAGGCACACAGTTAGGTCTAAGATAGATAATACAGGGCCAAGGAAGAGGGACATCCACCCTGTACTTGCCATACAGATGCAATATTGTTCCTTGCTTCTTGAAATATTGGAGCAGTGGAAACTGAAGGTATTTTCTGAAGCTCAGGCTTCTTTCAAGTTGTGTTTGTTATTTTTGTATGAATGAAAGAAAAACAACCCTTTTGCAGTACTCTCCTTTTCTTTAAGGCTGGAAATCAGACAGTTGAGTCCCAGACTTCACTCATGCATTTCCTGTGCTGTACTTCCAGGCTGATACTACAAGATAGATCTATTTATATTTTGCTGAGTTAAAATGTAATGTGTTAACGTGTGAATGTGTGTCAACTGATCAGTTAAGAAGGGACAAATTGTCTTATGAAACTGGGTGTTAATACGGAAGCTAAAACAAACCTGGAAGAATTTGCCTGTTCGTAGCCTGTACCGTGGATTCCGAATTACTGAGTCATTGTACTCAATAACTTCTAAAATGTTTATGACTTTTGAAACTCGGCTTGTGAAGTAATATCAGGACCAACAACTGTTCATCCTAAGGAATGTTTATTTAATCTGTTTCTGTGGTTTACCTGTGCTTCTACAGTACTCAGTATGAATTTTCACTTTAACAGGATCTCCAAACGTGGGTGAACGGTGCTAACGAAAATGGCTTTGTCCTCGTCTCATTTGGAGCTGGAGTGAAATACCTGTCAGAAGATATAGCAAATAAGTTAGCACATGCTCTAGCGAGGCTGCCTCAGAGAGTTATTTGGAGGTAAGTGCAATGACAGATGTACTTGGTGATTTGAAGCACGCTCATTCCCTGTTGTGCCATCTTGATCTAGAGTTGCAGAAGCTGAAATTGAGACACTCTGGGTGGTGCAGAGGACCTGACTCTTTTGAAAGATGCTCTTTGTGGAAATGTTGCGGTCCCCTGGTAATAAGAGGAACAATGATTTCTGTGGCAGAATAAGGCATAGGTTATGCTTCTATGCTGAGTGCATATCCTAGAAGGATTGGGGACAGTGAAAAGAGAGTCTGAGGTTATAACGTTTGTGACATACTGTCATCGTTTCTCATAAAGAAGCCACCGTAGGGAGCAAGAATGACATCCTGCTGATTTAATCCTAGGTTTTCTTTCTTTCTTTATCTTTTTTCTTTTTCCTCTCTTTTGGGCTCCTTCTCCCCTTTTATCTGTAAATACAGACTTTCATAATTGCTCTCCTCACTTGCCTTTTTCTGTGAGAAATTGGAGGAAGAAAAATCTGCAGGAGTAAAAATCAGTAATAAGATTTCTTGGGTCTAAAAACATCTTGAGTGGCTCTCTAAACTTACTGTAAAAATCCAAAAACGGTTTAGTCAGCTCTGCTTCACGCGGAGTGTTGCTCTGGAATATAATTCTGAGGAGTTCATGTGAACCATTGGTTTCCAAATAATCAGTGTCTTAAAATTTGACTGCTGTCCTTGCTGCACTTTAGGAATTGTATTAGCAGTCTATTTAGCATCCCGTTCCCTGCCATCTCTTAGGGACTGTTTTCATTGCTGTGTGTAATTGAAATAATGAACCCCACTAACGAACAGGAAAATGAAAATTCTTCAGACCATGGCACAGAACCTTTGGTAGTTGTAGTAAAGATCTCATCAGTTTTTGTTTAGGGTAGAGCTGCTATATGCTTGTTTCTTAAGAAGCCTGCAATGCTGCTTGGCTTGTAATGAGTTATTAGTCCCACTTGATCTTAATGCTTTTCTTTTGTTTTATCCTTTTATCATGTTCTCCCTGGAATGTTTTTTCTGTAGGAAGTATCCACTTTCTGTAGTAAATAAATAAATTTTAATGGATTTTTCTTGGGGATAACTTTTTTTTCTCATGCAAAAGCAACAATTTCGGTTGAAGCCTTTTAAAATTTTTCATTTTCCTCACTAGTATTTCCTTACTGTTTCCTTGCTTTATGTTCTGTGTTTTGTTCTGGGTTTGTTATCTGCAATCTCTTATCTGCTGAATGGCTTTTTGGATAAGGGAGCCCACCTGCTCGCTCTTTCCATCATGAGCTGTGGAATGGGAGGATGTCCCCGGGACTAGGTGTAAGACATAGTCTTTGGGAGAGCTGAGCAAGTGGCTTTCAGTCACCCCAGTGAGAATTTGAGATCCATAATTAAATACCTAAATATGAAATTACAAGTCCAACTTTGAATTTTTTTTGTTCTTCAGATCATTGACCTATGGTCTGTGTTGGACGTCGGTGGCTTTTATACTAGATATTTCTGCAAATGAGAAGGGTAGTGCTGCTTGGTGGTCTTATGTCAGAATGCCAAATCGAGAAAATCTTTGCAGTTCTTTATACCCTTGTGATTATGGATTACTAGTTAGAGCCAAAACCAGTAATAGTTCATTTGCTTTTATATAAGTTAGCATAAATAAAGTAGGCTTTTTTCCAGTGTATAGAATGTACAAGCTGGTTGTAAAGATGTGGCTTGCTTAATTGGGAATATGTAGGTGTTTCTTTCTGAAGTCATAGCTGTAATGCTCTCTAATAACCAGAATATTTTTAAGTTGTTGGAGCTGTCACAAAACAGTTCTATCCTCTAGTAGTCACTGGTAACTTTTCCCCCTTTCTTTTCTGTTTAGAATATATTTAACTTTATATATAAACTGCGTAAAACATTAATATGTAAATCAGTTTCTACTTGGAGTCTGTATTTTATGGGCTAAACTTTTCCAGCAGCCTCAGGTGAGCAAGATGTTGCTTGCCATTGGGGTTTCACGCAGTTGAGCAAGTAAGAAAAATATACTTGTCTCACAGTCTGATCCCAAACTTTTCATCAGTCGCTTCTCGCCTCATAAGCTGAGCTGTCAGCCTTTCCCTTCCTGGTATTAGTTAACTCCTTTTAAAATAAGGTGTTGATTATCAAGAGCTACAGGAAACTGGCCAACTGAAAGGGTATGCCTCCTGTTGATGGTGTGGACTACTATCTGTGGACTTGTGAGATGTTCTCAGTGGAGTTATCTAGTACCACCCAGAGTTTTCAGTAAAGCAGGGTCTCAGAGCCATAGAGAGGTTATAAAACCTCCTGCCAGTCACAGTGGTAAGGGTTATATATGCTTTAAGAAGGAGCTACATTGCCATTATGTTAATAGAAAACATTGCATTTCAAGCCAGATTGCAAGGAAACTGAATGTTGAAAAGCTGAAGTTGGAAGTTATCAGCTATCTATGGGACTTTGGTTGAGCCTGTTTTCTCTTGTAATAGTAAACAGTACCTCCATGTAACTGGAGATCTGCTTAGGGCTCATTTGGTTTGATTCTCTGGTTTGAGTGTAGTGATTTTGGAGCTCTTGATAACTCAGCTTCAATTTGATTTTATTGTTTTAGGTTTTCAGGAAACAAACCAAGGAATTTAGGCAACAACACGAAGCTTATAGAATGGTTACCACAAAACGACCTCCTTGGTGAGTACCTGTTTTGATCATATATCGCTTATTCTCACTTGAGTTCGGGTTGCTCTTCCAACAATATTCTACTGAATTAGCAGTCATAATAACTCTAGGATAATTTCTGTAATGGAAGTCATAGCACAGGAATATAGAGTTTGTCAGAATTTCAAGATGATGAAATCAAACACCTTTCTGATGTTAATTATCTTTCCCTGGTACTAACTCCATTTTTTTCCTTAAGTTAATTGTGTGGAGAAGAACATAGTTATTCCAAAGACTATTTGGCCTACTAAATGGGAAAATTTTTTGACAAGTGTCTTCTGTACCATGTGGAGCTATACAATTTGAGGGGAAAAAAATTAAAGATAAATAAGTAGGAATCTTCTTGAATCTTCTATTTTAGGGTACTGATGACTGTAACAATTTCTCTGTTATGAAGCAGCATGGTATGGTGTTCATTGGTCACTTCATGGAAGAGTCAAAATTGAGCATACAAAATTTGTTCACATTGCATCAAAATGAGTCTTAGGCGTCTGTACATACTGCTGTATGCATACGCGCTTATTTTTCTCCAAAGAAAGCTCTAACAGAACTTGGGCATGTATTGCAAGCTGATAACCTTTCTGTTTAACTAACCTGAGGTACTGTGGGTTCTCAGGTGCAAAGGTGAAACTTGCTATTCTTCCATCTTTTGGTAAAGGCTATGTTAAAGTCTATGTATTTTATTCTTTTCCCCCCTTCCTTCCCTGTCGAAGGGTGGCTGAATACATTGCAGATCCAAGGGGCCACAGAATATTTATGGTTCTCTCTGGGATACCTGGATGTTTGTGTGTTCGCAAAACAGCGCTGGTGCTATGATGGGCACTGATGAATGTGTTAAACATGCATGTGTGTCAGTGTGTGTGCATGTCAGCTGGAATATTTATCATAATGTAGTGATTAGGCAAATGACTTTTAAACCAGGTAGATTTGTTTTGATTACTAAATTGCTCTGAGGCAGTCTCATTTTTCTATTACATGAGGTTGTTACCATTATTGTCAGATCTTGCTAGCCTGAAGTAAGGCATGTGAAGCTTTAGAGAGGATGTAATATCAGTTGTCCTGTCATTAAATAGCTTGTATTTCATATGAATAATGAGGAAAGATTCTCTCTCCCTGGCTCATTTGTACTGCTAAACTGGTTGTAGTCACCACCTGTAGCTACTCAGGAGTAAACAATGTGTATTAATTACTCCATTAATAATTTTACACAGCTCATATACATGAAAATTCTTTGCATTGGCTGTTCCCTCTCTCTGAATGTATAAGGACATCATCTAATGCATGGGAAATTCCAGTGGAGTTTAAGGAGCTGTTGTGGTTTAACCCCAGCTGGCAACTAAGCATGACACAGCTGCTCGCTCGTTCCCTGCCCTGGTGGGATGAGGGAGAGAATCGGGAGAGTAAAAGTGAGAAAACTCGTGGGTGGAGACAGACAGCTTAATAGGTAAAGCAAAACCAGTGCACACAAGCAAAGGAGAACAAGGAATTCATTCAGTGCTTCCCATTGGCAGGCAGGTGCTCAGCCATCTCCAGGAAAGCAGGGCTCCATCATGTGTAATGGCTACTTGGGAAGACAAAATGCCATTACTCCGAATGTCCTCCCCTTCTTCCTTCTTCCTCCAGCTTTACATGCTGAGCACGACGCCATATGATGCGGAATATCCCTTGGGTCAGTTGGGGTCAGCTGTCCCAGCTGTGTCCCCTCCCAACTCCTTGTGCCCCCCAGCCTGCTTGCTGGTGGGGTGAGAAGCAGGAAAGGCCTTGACCCTGCTCAGCAGTTACAAAAACAACCCTGTGTTATCAGCGCTGCTTTCAGCACAAATCCAGGACACAGCTCCATACTAGCTACTGTGAAGAAAATTAACTCTGTCCCAGCCAAAACCAGCACAGGAGGAGGAGTTCAGAACAAGTCACATTGATTTTTGCCTTCCTGAATTGCAGTCATAGGAAGTCATGGTGGCAGATGTGTTGTACCCGGTTGCTTCATTAACTTCACGTTAAGGAGATGTAAATGTTTCCTTTTTTAATCTTCATGCCTCTTGTGTTTTCAGGTCACTCTAACATTAAAGCTTTTCTTAGTCATGGAGGTTTGAACAGCATTTTTGAAACCATGTACCATGGGGTCCCGGTGGTGGGGATTCCCCTTTTTGGAGACCATTATGATACTATGACTCGTGTGCAGGCCAAAGGCATGGGAATATTGTTGAACTGGAAGACTGTCACTGAGAGCGAATTGTATGAAGCCCTAGTAAAAGTTATTAATGATCCCAGGTATGGAATGAGTGGTTGTTTCTTGCTTTTATTTTAAGTTACCGTTATGCGATATATATGCATATATAGAACCTTTGTGCAAGGGGAAGAAAAATGCATGTTGGGATTTATTTGTGTGTACAGTCGGGGCAGGTCTTTGGATGGTTGTCCCATTTCACAAGATGGTTTTGGTGTAAGTGCTAAGCTTGTTGCTCAGCATACCAAAACTCAATTGTCTCATTTGCTTTTTGTGACATCTGCCATGTGAAAGGCAGAAAGGTTATAGAAACAAACCTGCCCTCACTTATTCCATGTTGCAGACCAATGTCTCTTTGTGTGTCTTGATTACTCCATATTTAGCAGTCTGGCTGTTGTGCTGCCTAAGGGGCCTGGAGCAAAATACACCTACACGATTGAAGGGTGGCATGTTTGGATTATACCTAAAAATACGGAGGTATTTAGAAGAGTGTCACTCTGAGTCCATGATTTGACTTAAAAAAAAAAAAAAAAATCCTGTTCTGGCCAGTAATGCCTCTTTTAAGGTCAGGAAGGTCATTTGTGTTTGTTGCAATGACAATATTCTGACAATTATTATGAATGAGGGCTCCAGTCTGTTTTCTGTAAATTTTGTTTTATTCAGGTGGAATAAGTAAAAGCCCATGAACTGGGTTTCATAACTCTTTAATTCCAGCAAACAAATTTAATCAGGAATATTATAACGTGAGGAGAGTCACTTTACAAGTTTGTTCCGAAGTGTTCTGTTTTAAACATCTGTGATGTTCAGACCATCTCCAGATGAAAAATAATGATGCGTTAGCTGGCAGTTTATTGTATCAGGCTAACCACACTTTTGGAGTACGGTGCCGACAATACTTCTTGCTTTCATGGGAGCAAAGTCTTTAAGCGGTGCTTGCCTTGAGAAAGAAGAAACCTGTAAGGAGTGAGCAGCAGAACCGCAGCAAAGGGGAGTGTTGCTAAAGAGATCTCAATAACATCAGTTTCATCACCTTTCCCTTGTGCAATTATCCTTAGTAGAAAGGCAAATCCTGCATAAATAACCTGTTGACCCTGCAGCTGCAGTGAGGGGTGAGAGAAGAAATTTGACATGATTGGCTGCTGGGGACAACCTGCTGAGAAAAATAAAAAGTTTTAGGCTGAACTCTGGACCCAAGTGGAAACAGTGTATTGCGCAATCAAAACTGAGCTTCCTTGTTCTGTGTCTCTCTGGTAATTCAATTGCACAATAACCTAAATGAGCGGTGTGTTAGGTGGTGTGGTTTAGCCCCTGTGAGCAACCGAGCACCACGCAGCTGCTTGCTCACCCTCCCCCTGGTGGGATGGGGGAGAGAATTGGATGGGCAAAAAAGTAAGAAAACTTGTGGATTGAGATAAGAACAGTTTAATAATTAAAATAAAATAATAATAATAAAAATTGTAATGAAAAGGAAAACAATGAGAGAGAGAAACAAAATCCAGGAAAAAAACAAGTGATGCAACTGCTTACCACCTGCTGACCGATGCCCAGCCAGTCCCCGAGCAGCGATCGCTGCCCCCCCGGCCAACTCCCTGCAGTTTCTATACTGCCCATGACGCCGTATGGCATGGAATGTCCCTTTGGGCAGGTTGGGTCAGCTGGCCTGGCTGTGCCCCCTTCCAGCTTCTTGTGCCCCTGGCAGAGCATGGGAAGCTGAAAAGTCCTTGAGTAGTGTAAGCGCTGCTTAGCAATAACTAAAACATTGGCGTGTTATCAGCATTATTTTCATACTAAATCCAAACCACAGCACTATGGCAGCTACTAGGAAGAAGATTATCCCAGCCAAAACCAGGACAACAGGGTACGTTGCCACTCTACAGTGAGAAGGGCCAATGTGTCTCATATGGAAGGATTCATTTTGGATTGGATAAGGTGCCCCTCTGGCAGCAGGTCAGCTTGGCTCTTCATAGCTTTGCTGGAGCGTGGATTTCTGCCTTTAGTCACACACAGGTCTGCTTTTCTACTCATTCTTCATCAATCTCATTCTTCATCAATGAGCTTGGAAGCACTCATTTAAAGCCAGATTATCTGCCATGTCTAGCCTGGTTGCAAGAGACCTGCAGTAGTATGCTGTTTGATCTGAAGAGGCTTATGTATATTTACGGGTTTGCAGGCTTGCATTGCTCAGAGCGTGCTGACGACGATTTTTCCTTTCTTCCCTTTTCTTTCTTTTTCTTCCCCGCAGCTACCGGCAGCGGGCGCAGAGGCTGTCCGAGATTCACAAAGACCAACCCGGTCATCCTGTTAACCGGACTGTGTACTGGATTAATTACATCCTCCGTCACAACGGAGCCCAACATCTACGTGCCGCTGTTTACAGCATCTCTTTATATCAGTATTTCTTACTGGATATTGCCTTTGTTGTACTAGTGGGTGCTGCCTTACTTTATTATATTTTGGCCAGAATAACAAAATTTATCCGCAAACAAAGCAAACATCTTTGGTCAAATGACGAACATAGCGCTGTTAATGGACATTACCAGAACGGGATACCAAATGGCAAGTATAGAAGAAATGGCCACATTAAGCATGAAAAAAAGGTGAAATGAGCCAACCGCCCCATGTAAAGTAGTCATGAATCAGATCAGTAATCGAATTTTATCGCTGTAACTTAGTCTAACAACTACTTAAAACCTCAATAAGCAGTTCTAACACTCCCCTTCAGTATGTAATATTATGTGACAGAATTCTACGGAACTAAGAAAAGTCTTTAAAAAAAAAAAAAAAAGAAAAAGCACAACCTAAAATGGAAAATATTTTATTCTTAATACTGATGCAGAGAGGTTATTTTGGCACTGAAGTTTTTAGAAGCCTTAATTCTCTAAAGTTATACAATGACCGTATTTATGAATTTTCAGTTTTTAAAAGCTAAATGTGTGTGTCCCAAATGAGGAAAGGTTTCTTTTTATTTGCAGAGGTTTTTTCCTTTTATTTTTTTATTATTTTAATATATCCTTCTTTTAGCTGAGAGAACTTTAGTGCTAGCTCTGTTTCCTTTGTTGAAGGTTCAACATGTTGTGTAAGAATGCTGTTTAAAAAAAAAAAAATTTTTTTCCAGTCTTTGTGCAAGAAATAGCCAGTTACAGACTGAGAGCACAGACATTTAAAAAAAAAAAATCTTAAAAATGAGCAGTAAAGAAAAATGGCAAAAATATGTACTCCTTTTACTGATAAGCTGCATGACTCTTCTGCTCACTACTGGTACTTTGGAGAAAAGGGTCTTGAGCAAGTCTACAGTATGTCTTAATTTTTAATGTATGCAAAATTTTGTATGTTGCCTTTCTCTGCATATATAATTTATGCCATGAAAATATTAGGGAGTTCTATTTCAGTTTAAAATGCAGCTGTGTGGGAAGTAGATCTGCAAAAATTAAGAAGAATAAATGAAACCAACAACAACAAAGAAAAATCTAGCCCAGTGCTTAATGTAGAAGGTTTTCTAATGGCCCAGAGCTGTGCAGAATCAAACCACTATTTGGGGTTTAAAAACCAAACAACAAACGCTCCCTGCCCAGTTGAATGTCTTTCCTATTAATTCTCATTATTATTAAGTTCTTTCTAAATCGCAGTGTTGTAGATGTTCTCTTTCGATGGTTGTATCTGGAAAAATATTACCTTCTATTAGTCTGGGCCACGCAATCCATGTTTCACATAGTTGCCAATACAAATTCTCCGATACGGGACGGGAGGCTGCTCTCCGGGAGGGTGAGCAGCCTTCCTCCCGCGGCCTGACAGGACGCGTCGGGTGAAGCCCGGCCACCCGAGCGCGAGGTTTGCGGAGGTGGTCGTCTCCCCCTTCCCCTGCTACGGCCCCTCCCTGCAACAATCTCTTTCAATCATTGTCGCCGACATGGGACGCTGGCGGTGGTGCGCACCCAGGGTGGGGATGCAGGACGCCGGGCATAAAATCATAACTGCCCTGCGGAACCGGAGTTGGCAACTATGAGTTTATTTCCATGTCATTCTGTTTACTTGGAATTTGCACTACACATGTTGTGAGTGTATGCTTTATTTATTTGTAGTTTGAAATCCCATGCCTGAAAGAGAAAGGAAAGAAACCCATTTACCTAGTGTTGTTCACTAACATGGGAAGAGTTGCGATGATTACAGGATGCTGAGATCATCTTCATACACAGTGATGCAATATTTCACTATCATTCCATCAGGAGCCTCTATCCTATAGCAATAAATAACAGTACGGATATGTTTCTAATATACAGTACAGCTACTTGTACTGCTTTCTGAATACTTGAAGAAAATGGTATTATAAATAAACCTAGTAGCTATACCTTTTTACAATCTTGCAGTTTGTGGCAACTAAAGGAGCACACAGAGGCGATGAACGGTGGGATGGTAACAAGACTTCGAGTGTATGAATGACTTGGTTTAAATGGTTTTTTTGGCATTGAAGAAGGTACAAAAGCACTGACCGGATGATTAAGCATAATTTAATCTCCACTGTGATAAAACTTAAGCAATAAACATGGATTTAATAGAGAAATTCTGTTGTTGGATGTATATTTTTATTCAGATGAATGCTGTTTATTTTGAAGTAACTGGCGTGTGTGAGTGTGTATAAATGGATGTGTATTAGGATACACAAATTCTTTCTTCTCAGTATATACACCATGATGCATGATAGGTATTTGGAATAAAAAAATATTTTGTTTTGTGAATGTAGACCTATTTCCTGTAGGAGCATTGAATCAATTGAAAGATGAGATGATTAACCAGATTTCTTTAAGGCAGTTAGTTTTTTAAAGTTTATGTAAACGTTCCTGGTAAAGTGTGGGTGTTTTGTATATGCGGTAAGCTATTAACCCATTTCTTAGAAAGCAAAACCAAAAGATTTTTCATGTAGATATTAGATGAGATGATTAATTTCTGAGTAGTCTCTTTGGATATAAACATGCTTCAATTCAGTTGCAAAAGAGGGAGGTTGCTGCATTATTAATTGTATTACCAAACTTCTAGGTGGGTCTGATCCACCTGAACTGTAGAAACACCCGTTTTGTTCAAAGTTATCTTCTTGTAAGTTCAAATATGATCTCATATTGTTGTTACTTTTCATTTCAGCTCCCTGCAGTATTGCAAGAACCTGTATTAGACGAAGTGGGTGGGTAATGGTGTGGGGGGAACACTTCTGTAAGGGTAAAACTGGTGCAAAATCAGTCACTTCGGAGCTGTTCCTGGGGCAGGTGTGCAGAAATCCCGAGGCAGCACAGCACAGCTGTGTAACCTGCAGCCCTCACACAGCTCTGGAAATGGGCTTCACTGCTCTCCCAAATATCTGTGTATAAAAAGAAGGGTAATTGGAGCAACTGAGATAAAGTATTCTGTGGACAAAATGAGCAGACAAGAAACAGCCACAATAAGCACAGAAGATGCGTGCCACTTGCATGAAGACTTTCAAAGAAGCTCGAGACACTTGGGCACTTGCCATAGGTTTTGGTGTTCTGCTTTCTGATTTCCTTTGAATAGCTCAATGATTCAAGAAGAAAGCAGCCATAAAAACAAGGCAGTTTAATTATCACCTACAGAAACAGGTTCTGGAGATGGTTATCAAGTATTCAGAGTTTAAGGAAATCAATGAATGTGCTAGCAGTTTTTTCTTATTCCCCAGACCTTGCAAAATCAGGTTTTTAATACTATTCTGTGTTAATCTTTTTGATGTTCTTGAAAGATGCCACTTTTCATGAAGTTGATTATGTACTGATTTTATTCTATGGCATGGTAAGTCTGTGGTATTTACTGTAGTTAGTCTGATCTATATATCTGTAGTGAAGAGACACAATAAAAATATTACCGTATGCATACATTCAAGCAAAATTTTAGCCCTGTTATTTCCAGGGTGCTAAATTTTGCCCTGTAATTTGTGTTGGGTACCTACAAGTGGGTTTATTTGTATATGAAATCTAATACATGTGCGCATCTGTATCAGTAAGAAACAGAAGGCTGTTTGAATCCTTCTGAAGCTAAGCTGTGCTTCATTTGCTTTGGTGATTTCCCACCCCCCCACCAGAAGACATCAGCACTTTTAATAAACTTCTGGGTTGGTTTTTTTTTTTGGTGTCTTGACAAATGACTGCTGTCTTCCTTGCTGTACAACCCTAGAGATGCCTAGTGGCCAACTAATGAGAGGTGTGATCCTTCTTTCAAATGACATAAATATATTGTAATTTTTCCTGCAATGAGATCACATGTGGTTTTTTTTTTTCTTTGAGAGGTGTTTCTCTTTTGGGGGTCATGGGGAATGTGTGTTTAAAGATGGATTTAACAAATCCAGTGTTATACAAGAAATTGCCTGTGTTGTTTTAGCTTGTGTATTGGGATAAATGGTGCACATGTGTGCAAAAAGTGGCTGTAGTACTATCAAATACTTTCACTTGTGGTTCCCTGGAATTGTAATACTCCCCAATTTCCAAGGAAGAAGGCGACATCTCTAACGAGAAGGTTCAAAATGTAAATATGAGAGAAGAGTCTCTGAAGTCATGTTGCTGCTCTTTAATATTAAAGGTCTAAGCGCATTACAGAACAAAGGTGAAAGCTACCCTATTGCATTTGGGTTTTGAAGAACAGTGTTCAGGTGCGGGGTTTTTAACAGTTCACAAGTAGAACAAGGAATTAGGATGAAGATCTTGGGAGGGGGAGGAGAGGAGGAGGAGGCATTTTCCTCAGAGAAACTTCATGTTTGCCTTCTGTGAATTGTTTTATTATGGAGCTGTAGAGAAAACCAAATATGTGTGTTAATTTTTTTTCTTTTACTTCTGGTCCAGCAGCACTAGTAGGAGACAGGTAGCAGTATTCAGGAAGACTGTAACTCCTTTCATTTGGATAATTTTAACATGATACTTAGGAAGTGCACACAAACCCAACCACACCCAACAACAACCCCTCCAACAGTCTCTTCCCTGGGTATATTTTGGTATGTATTCCACATCTGCACTGTGGATAACAATGGGAAAACTTCCCTCTTTGTTATAGCAAGGAAGTGTTCCTGTGTTTCAAGACAAAGAATCTAGCAGCAATTGGTGTTGGTGCTCAGCCAGCATTGAAATCAGCTGGATTGTTGAAGGAATGTCAAAAAGGCGTGTTTAAAAAATACACATGCAACTCCAGCCTGCATACCCAATCACAATACCAAGTCTGAGGTTTTAATCACCTGTTTGATCAATACTGTTTATTATGCATTGAACAGAGAAGATGGTCTTAAAAGAAACTGAATTAATCTTCCAAGGCAGCCTTCTGCCATTGTTTGGTAAATACCGCGGACCAGTTGAGGCTTACTTATCCAAATGAAAATTATACCTTTCAGTGGTATAAAACTGTTTTATCTAGGGCTGTGGGTGTGTTTGCTCTTTTAAACAAAAAAAACACCAATGCTAAATTTTATTTCACTGTAAAATAACAAAAATCGGAGCATGTCATGCATCTCTCTCCTGGTCTTCTCAGTTACTCTGTAATGAAACAAAAATTGGTTAGAAAAGCTTGTATTTCACATATGTTGAGGGGACAGAAGCTTGAACAATAGTTAGGGATATATCAGAAAGTATTTGCTTGGAAGTTACTCTTGTCTTCACGTGATCCTTGTGGCTAAGAGGATACATAAAGTTTATATTATTTATGTATTACATATAGGAGTTAGAAAAATCGAGACATGAGGAATACCAAAACTTCTTTGGGTTGTCATCGTGAGCCAATTTAGGAATTGCTCCTTAGAAGAACAGCACTGTACATTTCAGCTTGAATTGGGGAAATCTGGACTGGAGGATCTCTTGATTAAAGTGTGTCAAATTGGTGTTTGAACCACAAACAGCAGCCTTCAATGAGATTAGAAGTGCTGTCATGAAAGTAGTGGTCTATGAAAAATACAGACAAAAGCATCAACTTACAAACAGAGCATAATTGTACTGTACGGAGCATTAGTTGGCTTTTTAATGTTAGTATGATTATATGTTAATGAAATAATTGTGTGTCTAGGTGTAAGAACCGAGGCTGGTGAGGAGCTATTACTCAAGCAAGAAACAACATAGACTGTAACTTTTTGCAAATGAGCGTGAGGATTTTTGGCAAATAGTTCAATGCACACTCAGTGGTATTTTTAAACTAGATGTTTTTTGCGTGTCTACACAGGTGCTCAGGGCCCTCCTCTATTATACTCAGTTTATGATGCCGTAGTCAACTTGTTGTAAAACGAGCGTTCATGTAGTATCTTCATCTTGCTGTTAAGGTTTGTCTGATTCTTTCATCAAAGATGTCCTGCCGGCTATTGAGTCTGCTGCCTAACCCCACCACCTTAATTTTA